GAGCAGACGCTAGCTTTGCTGGAACAGTACTCAGAGCTATTGCTACAAGCTGTGGAACGACGCATGGACAAAAAACTCTGAGGGGTGTCTTTCAGGTGCTTGTGAATACACAGAAATAATCCCAAGAAGAGGACCACAGAGAGAGCTTCAGACCAATGCTATCATTGCACTGGTCTAGGGGTGGTGGGAGACCTTTATAAATTGATTTCCTCAGACCCCTACAACTGACTTGCTCTAATTCTTAGCGATGTGCTGGCCACAATTTTAATATTTTTTTCCCCAGTGGTCTTCAACTTCCTGTCTCTAGACAAAGTCTTGAAAGAGGAGTTTGGAGAAATTGCCTTGAAATTTCTTCATAGCCAGGAGGTCAGGATGCTTGGCATCTAAAGAAACAAAGAAAATCCAGTTTATCCAAGAAATTCTGAACTGCTGACTAAAAACAAAGGAGTCCAAGTGAAGCCAATCCCTTCCTCTCAAGGCTTCATGAGAATCAAGAAGCAGACTTTTTATGGGTTTATTTATTAATTTATTTTTCTGACTGTTGCTCTATGTCACATTTGTGGCTATTATCTTTGTCCTTTAACAAAAACTGTCAATCCCTTTGCCATATCCCAGCGAGAAACAATCTCTGTATTATAAACCCCCAACAGGGAGACAGGCTGGAGTGTCTGTGCAATTAATGAACTGTTTTCTGCTTAAATCTTGTCTTGCTGTTCTTTCTTTTCCTGCCTTAGTTTTGTTACCTGGAGTAATCCTGCTGTTGTCATGACAACCCTGTCTGCTTTTCTCTTGTTTCAAGGCAGTCCCCACATTGTATTTTATCTTCGTTCACCTCCAGGGGAAGGCTCTGCAACCCTTGGACCATACTTTGGAGATTACTTAATGAATTCAGTAGTGGTATTTTTAATCTGGAATTTGACGTTATGTTGATACTTCAGACTGGGTTTTCTGCAGACATTTTAAAAATGGGATTTAGATACAAATATGAAGATTTGTTTCAGCCACCTTTCATGATTAGGAATTGGATATTGAATTTGATGTTATCATGACTGGGAAATTTGGGGTGGTGATTTATTTGTTGAGAAGTGATATGGAAAAGCTGATTTCTATCTCTTACAGTGTAACTCTGGGTCTGAGAGATCTTCAGTGCAATGGCTCATCCATGTCATTTGTTCATTTCACTGTGATAGGAAAATGTTGTTTTCTTGCTTTTCCAGGAAAACAGCATATTTACATCCCCAAGAAAGCTGGGATTCTCTTACCTTTTGTAAAACTGTTTAAACAACCCACAGAAATTGGTTTCTGAAGAACTTTGAACAAGATGTTTTGGGATGTGATTACCACCACTTCCCCTGCCCCCAGCCTCTTTTCAAAAAGAGTTTCTTGTCTGAGAAACAGAAGATCTTCCCTTCTTGTATTTGTGTGTGCAATACTCTTCTCACCCTGTGGAGCTTCTCTAAGCCCATGCTAACTCATGTTTGTTGTTGCTTAAAACTGTCCAGTGATGGTTTTTTGGCCAATGATAAGCTAAGAAAAAAAAAATTTCAAACCAATGAAATTCTTCAGCACCTTCCCCTTTACTCCCACTCCTTTGCACAACAGGGACAGATGTAGAAAATGCTTTATTTCTTCCTCCATCTCCAGTTTGTCTTGTATTTATTTTAAGGCAGAGCAGTGTAATCCCATCTTACAAAACTAATACAAGCAGCAAGCCTTTGGTGGGAGAGAGACTGCTAGCATCTTGGAAGTCACTCAAAGGCAGCCAGACTGTATCACTTGATTCCACAGGTAACAGGCTTGAAGCAGTTTTCTTTCATTTTACTGTCCTGGCTGTCATCACCCTGTGGCACTCAGAAATGGGGTCTGTTGATTTTTCATCTTTCTGTGACTGGAGATCTGCAGTGCAGCCTTTTTTCTACTGGGCTGGCCAGACTGGTGTAGGATGACCTGTTCCCTCCGGATAACTCCAGGGCTGAAGAATCTGCAGTTCTCAATCTCCCCCTAACAGGTTTGCTGTTTTACCACCACTGCTGAGTGCTGCAGGACTTGGCGGTATGGGGAGCACTTTGAGAGCTTTCCAGCTACTTCTGCCTGTAATTTGAATCTGCCTAATGACGTTTCAGGTGTCCTTGCTAGCCTTTCCTTCCATGGGCTTGTACTGAAACTTCAGAATTGTTATTTTCGAGTCCTGTCTCAGCATTGCACTGTGCTGAATCAGCTGGTGTGCTCAGTCCCATGAGCAGCTTGTCTTGCACGGACAGGCAACGTAAGGCAAGTTGAAAACCAGAGAGGAAAATTCTGGCAGTTTCCTTGGATGAAAAGGTGTGCTGGAGATGCTGTGAGTGGAATGTATGATGGCAGTCGTGTTGGGTCTGTGATGGAGTTAGCTTGCTTTTGAGGTGATTAGTTCCTCCACTTTCAGACTGTGAACATATGTCCTAGTATGCAGGAAATTTCTTGCTGTACTGGGGCCACAAGACACTCAGGTAAAATAGCAGTCCCTTCAAACCCAGGTATCTTTTGGTACTGGCGATAATGGTTTGAGGGTCCTTTATATTACTTCCCTGTGCAATTTTATTGCATTTTATTATTTAAACTTTGAGGTAGTGACAAAAAGGGTCAGAGATGGTACAGAAGAGCCAGTGGTGAGAACGAAATTCCCATTAAGGTAAAGAGCAACAACCAGTGAAGCTGGCATAGAAGTGTGAAACAAAGCTCCTCAGAAATGAGTCATGTGAAACAAATCTGATTTTTTAAGCTGACCAGGGTGGGGTTTGCTTCCCGGAATGGGTTTGCTTGGGGTCACAGCAGCATACAGGAAACCAGAGGTAAAACATGATCAGAATGATGGTAAGAGAAGTGTTGGGCAAGTAGATCAGTTGGAGGATGGTTGTGTAGTTTAACGTAAATTAGAATAGTGTATGTAGGACACACAGGGAAACAAAGTAGAGGTAGAGATAGTCTTGGCCTGAGGAACAACATTTGGCCAATACCTGTGAAAGATAAAGGCTTCAGGAAAGTAGATTTAGGACTGAGATGGTGATCTGTAATTGAAGAATGAATTGGAAGGGGTTTGGTTTTAAATATGTCCTGTTGGGCCTCTCATTTCTTTGCTTGCTGTCCTCTAAGCAGCTGTGTTTTCTTAAATGGCAAAGTTGTGAGCTGTTGGCTTGGATGTTACAAACTGAGTAGTAGAAGCCCAGCAAAGGAGATGCTGGTGCCGCAAGTTTGTTGCTGAGAGGGGTGAGGAGATCGTGTTGCTCTTTGTAATTTGGGACTGATCCAACCGATTCTTCCCTGCTAAGTTCCTATTGCTGGCAGTAGGAAATATTCCTAAAAATTCTAGTTTACAGAACAAAGAGAGTGTAAATGTGTTTCATTTTGTTGCGCCTTGTGAGTACGTTTCACCACAGGCTGTCCATTGGGCCAGGTAGAGAAATACGAATAGTAACTGCCTGGGAAGTGAAGAGGCTTGTGGGAGGAGGTAATAAACTTCGGTCTATCCTTCTTACTGGTTTGTGATCCCTCTTACTGGCTTATGTGGGTGTTAGCATAGGCACAACCAGGTATCTGTATTAAGACAAATTATTTGTTTAACATAAAGCCTGAAAAAATAATTTGGACCTACCAACACTCTTTACATACATTGTGTCCCCTCCAACCCAACACTCCTGGTCAAATGAGAATAGTTGTTTTAGGGCTCACCCCCACCCCCCTTCTTGTAAATAATATTACTTTGCCTGTGGGACCCCTTGGTTCATTCTTGGGCCCTCTGAACTGGTGCAGTAGGAAAGGCAGCAACCTGAGAGGGCAGCAAACTCTTTTCTGTTTTATTTCCTTCTGCAGGCAGGGTAATGCCTTCCTCCTCCCCGTCCCTCAGTAGCACCCAGGAGCTGTCTGTATGGGAGTCTGCGTTTCTTCCACCTCCTCTCTCAGGTTGTCCTCTCCTTTCCATGCAACCTCCCAGGTGATGGTTGGGGCAGGCCTTACAGCAGCCCCCCTCCCCAGTCCCCCATTTTCACAGACTTCATCGTGACTCAGAGGAATCGAGACGTTTCTTTCCAGGAGTAGACACATACAAACTTAATTTTTTTTTTTTTTAAAAGGAAGAGTATGTATATAATTATATATAAGAAAAAATGAAATACAGGTATTTAAACACCATTGGTAAATTCATGCATGTATACAGTGTCTCCCCCCACCCTGCTGGATGTGTAGCATCCAAGATACTAAATGACAAAAACCTCATTAAAACAACAGACAGGTCTGGCAGCATCCGCCGTATGGGTACCTGCTGTGAAGGGTGGAGGGGGAGACGCCGGGGGCAGCAGGGTTAGGAATAAGCCATGTCCACCCCGCCTGTCGTCCTTTGGGCGCCCTGGGCACCAGGCAGGCGACTCTTTACCTGTGTTCTCCAACGCTTCCCTTCACCCGTTTAAAAACAAACACAAAAAAAAATCCTTCCTGCTTTATTTATAAATGTGTGTTTTTATACTTTTGGCTTTAGGTAAAATAATCCTTTAAACTGTCCTCTTTTTTTTTTTTTTAATTATTTGGAAAAAAAAATAATAAAAATCGTTTGTTGGGTTTTTTTTTGCACTGTGAGGCTCCCTCCGGGAGCTGTTTTTAACTCTGTATTCATTTGTACTCCGTGTCTTAAAACTGTTTCAATAAAAATGTGACCATTTGTTACCGAGCTGCGGTTGGGCGAACAGCGCCCGGCATTTCGCTTCCCGGGGGCGGGCAGAGCGGGGCCGGGGTCGGGGCCTCGGGGTCGGGGCCTCAGGGCCTGCCCGGCCTCCTTCT